TCGTCATATTAGGAAATGGCGGAAAGCGGCGAGGCACCTGCATTCAAGTGTAAGTACCTCGAGATAAACATTGTTTTCGTGTGATTAATCTGAACTTGTTTTAAAGCATCCAAACAAATGACCATCTTGCGTAAGATTTAAATTATGTTTACAACGTTGTAAATTGTACGTAAAGTGTGTTTAATAAACACCATTAAAGTACATCAACTTATTGCTACTTTCTGTAGACCGATGTGTTGGTTAAGCAGTGTAATGAGATAATTTTACATCAGTTATTAGGGAATTACAACGATGTTATGTTTCTATGTTTCTTTTACCAGTTGTGATATTTTGGAATATATTTGTTGGCTTCATAGCAACTTAGCAAGTTACTAATGCCTTGGCTTCTTAATGTAGCATTAACAGGTATTATCATGAATCTAAGCAGTAAACCTTTAAATACTGATGTGATGTTACAGGGACTGATGAGCACACCCGCATGCTTATCCAGTGGAGAGTGGCTAATGAAGCCCTCTTCACTGGAAAGCGTAATGCAGCCATCAAAGGTTTTGAGTGAGTAACTTATACAATGAAACCATATTACTCAAGTTTGTACACTTGCAACTTTTTCCAAAAAAAAATTCTGATTGCTGTCTGCATTTATTGCAGAGTTTTTGTGACAGAGCAGAACCTGGTGGGGAAATGTGCTCCTCAGATAAGACAATGTCATGCACAGAGGACTTGGGGATGTCTAAGGCCATTGACACTACCCTGTATGATGCTGCATGGGCCAGCCAGTAAAGAAAACCCAGCACCTCAATGTCCTTTTCCCAGCCATGATCACCATCTGACTTTAGAACAGCAATCAGGGACTGTGCATGTGCGAGGGTGTTACAGTTCCGCGTAGCTCAACTTCCCATATTTACATTTCTGTTTACCTGTTCTCTCCCCACTCCTCTATCACCACTATTAGTCATTATTCCACTCACCTGTGCTCATTATCCCCCGGTCCTGTTCCCCGCTGTTCTGCCACGACAATCAGTCTCCACGCCGTTCACCTGCTGTTCATTATTGCCCCATCCGGTCCTGTATTTATACACCTATTTTCTGTTCACTTGCTGCTGGTTCATACCCTTAGTATGTGTGCATGTCTCGCGATTACCTGCCTTCAACTGCGTGTTCCGATCATGCTCTATTTGTTTCCGCAATTCATCAGCCCCGCTTACTCTCCATTGGTCAGTCTTATTCTTCACCGTTTATTGATTTTCTGTCTTTTCCTATGCAAGTCTTTAGCTCTGCGCATTCTGTTTCATTTAGCTGCTAGCGCTGCTCAATCCGTTAGCCCTGCTCTGACTACCAGCGCTGCTCCAACCGCTAGCGCTACCCTAACTACTAGCGCTACAGATCCCAGCTTACCTGATATCCTGCTGTCGTCCTCCTGGTTCTTTGTCCTCCTGGTCTCCTCGTCCCTCCTGGGTTCCTGCCTGGTCTCCTCGTCCCTCCTGGGTTCCTGCCTGGTCTCCTCGTCCCTCCTGGGTTCCTGCCTGGTCTCCTCGTCCCTCCTGGGTTCCTGCCTGGTCTCCTCGTCCCTCCTGGGTTCCTGCCTGGTCTCCTGCTCATCCCTCCTGGGTTCCTGCTTGGTCTCCTGGTCCTCTCTGGTCTCCTCCTCGTGTCTCCTCCTCATCTCCTCCTCGTGGTTCCTCCCTGGTGGCCTCCTCCTTGTGGTTCCTCCCTGGTGGTCTCCTCATCCTTGTCGTCTCCTCCTGGGTCTTGCCTGTCCTTGGTTGCTCCCTGCCAGTCTTCCGGCCATCCAGCACTATTTGTGTTTTGTTTAATAAACTGCTTTCTTCAGTTCCTCTCCTCTAGTCTGTGTCTGCAACTGGGGTCCACACCCCATTCACACGCAACAGAGGGATAAACCAACAGTGACAGCTCTTAGAGGGCCAAGCCTATATGAAATAGAACTAATATTATCATTAGCATTATTACTATTATTGGTGGTAGCATAACTTGGAGGAGTATTTGTAGTCACAAATGTAATAACTAACATAATATTTGTAATATTAACATCTAAATGAGAGGCACTGTACATTCCTACTCTCCATCAGTTTGCTGTTCTTTAGAACCAATGTTGACAGTAGTGTCTAATCTTTTTCTCATCAGCTGCAGTTTCTGAGACACTGAGAAAATTGTAGTTGCAGTCAGCTACTCCACCAATATCTACACCTCCTACATAAAATTTCTTCAGTACATTACACTAAAAGCAAATAAATGAAACAGGCTTGGAAGGCAACATTTGAGACCTACTGTTGTGTTATAATGCATGCAAACAAAGCAACTGAATCACATCTCTCTAGTCTAATTGAAACAACTGAGTAAGAAGTGTAATCCTTTGTCATTTAGAGCTGTAAGTGCTGCTTTTTTTATCTTAAGTGTATGCTGATCTGAGATGTTGGACTTAGTAAATGTAGAGAGAACGTGAAGTTCCCATCACACCATGTTGAATTTTGGGTAAATGTGCCATGTTTGGAGCATCATGCTCATTAACAATAATATATAGCCTTTATATACACTACATACAGTATAAAGTAAATACTATCCCATAGAGGTATGTACTGTACAATGGATGCTTCAACTTCAGTGTCATTTTTCAGTCTGTCACTTTCATAGATAGGATCTCTCTCTGAGTTAGCTACAGTCAGCTAAAGTTATCCAGCTTGAATTACCACAGTCAGTAAGCTGAGATCTAAAAGATTTAAAGAGCCCCTAGCATGCTTTTCTGTGTTTTATGACTTATCTACAATGTTACAACAATCAGTTATCTTAAAGTGACTGAAAGCTCTAAAAACAAGGTGTACCCATGTTGTTGTACTTCTATGCAGAAGCAACTTGGTTTATACAAATCCCATGAACTCTTATGGGGGAGACTTTGTTCAACTATGGAAAGTATTGTGCAACAGTTTATGAATTTCCTTGAATAGTCATATTCTGCTGGCTGTGCACAGTCATGCGAGCTTGCCTGACATTCACCATATTTAAAGTAGGATTTTATGACTGGGATATATTTTACCTCCTGCTGCCTGCGTTGTAACCAGAGGCTGTGGAGAAAAATACACGGCCTGGGGTTACTGCATGTCTGGGAATGTTCCTGTACAGGGACTCACTGTTTTACCTGACCGGGTCTTATGTGGTGTGGATGGAGGGGCTGGAAATCTATGACTACGTTCACACTGCAGGTGTTAATGCTCAGATTGGATTTTTTGCCGAAATCCGATTTTTTTGCGCTGTTGTTCACACTGTCATTTAAATGCGACTGCCATCTGTCTCATGTGTGAACGGTATACGGCCCTGAGGTGACCCACATGCGCAGAAGAGGACGTGACGTCAGACGCAGCATACTGTGTTTGCGAAAATAAAAATGGATGCGGCTCGTGATAGCATGTGCGTAGTGATGTACCAGTTAATGTGCAATCAAAATAAAGAAATAATAATAAGAATATCAAGAAGGAGGAGAGCACAAATATTGCTTATGGCCTCGCCTCCTCCAGCGCAGAATTGTGACATTTATCGCTCAATGACATAAAAATCGCATGGCCGTTCAGACTGAAGTCGCATTGTAAAACATCGGATATGTATCCGATTTAGGACCACATATGAAAGTGGTCTGGGCCGGATTTGAAAAAAATCGGATTTGTGCTGTTCACACTGTCATAAGGAAATCGGATATGGGTCACATTTGGGGAAAAAGATCGGATCTGAGTCACTTCAGCCTGCAGTGTGAATGTGGCCTATGATCAGCTGGCCAGTGAAGCATCCTGGAGTGGTAAATGATCAGCTCATAAAGGCTGGATTTCCCCAGAGCACAGTACCTGTTGGTTTTGACTGCTTGAGGCTTCTAACGACCCATGATGTTATTGTGCTATGCTACCTGTTTGATTTCACTACTCTGGGAATGTATGTGATCATGTGTGGTGAGAAGCAGTGATCACCAGTTGGATTTACCAACCTCAGAGCTACTTGAAAAAGAGTGAAGTTTCCACTACTCAGTGGGACTTAATGGTAAGTTTGAAAAAATCACATTGCACGTCTGTTAATGCCTTGTTTCTGTAGAAAATTGTTGTAAGGCTGGAGAACCTACTATGTCTGCATTATGCCAGTTAAAATATGGGGTTTCCCAATTACCTGCTTGGTTTAGAGTGCTACACATCTTTTTTCATTGGTACATTTACCGTTGTTTACCTATCTATGGAGGAGAAACTCTTAATGCCGTTGTGGTTCGCTGTACATTTTCAACCCAAAACCAGCAAAAGGAGTTGTGTTGAACTATCCTCTCGCTTTTAGGAAGAGGTTCTCTGGTTTTATCCTTCTGAAATAATTACAGACTATTTGGAGTTATGATGGGTGCAAAGCTAATATAGAGGTACCCAAGATTAAAAAATAAATTAGCAAAATAAGCATGCCACGGGCTCTTTAAACTGATCCCAAATGGGTTGGTTTTCCATCTTGTTTCATTCTTAACTCTGGGAACAGCAATAAACCAAATGGCTCGTACAAACCCACTATATGCTACCTGCCCAGAACCAAATGGGTTCACAAGTAACAGGTGAACACAGCAGTTAATGAGCCAGATATTTCTGTCTGGAATTGGTGGAGACAAAAACAGAGCTAAAACGAGAGTCAATGCCAGACTTAAAATTTCCAGACCTGAAATATGAAATCAAATTAATGCTAATAAGCAACATTTTCATTCCAGTGAAGCAGCAGAGATTTACACACCTTCCATTATGAACAAAAATGATGAAGACCCAACATATAAATAATTCAACTTAGCAGAAGGCATGTAATTATCTATTTGAAATGCTTTATACTACTTAGTGCTAAAAATGTCACCTCTGGCATGGGGTTGAGTTGAGGCTGTGTGTTACAGATGATAAGAGAGGACTTTCCCCCAGGTGGACAAAATTAACAAAAGTCCTGATTTATGCTCTTTCTGCCTTTTTCTTGCATTCACTCAGTATCTGCCTTTACTCTTTCTCTCTCTTTCTCCATTTTTGTCTCATTCTTTGTCTCCATCACTTGTCTTTTTCCTTTAATTCATTTTATTAATTTAATTCCTTTAATTTCCTTTTATTACCTCTCAGACTCGCCCCCTCTTTTCTTTATTCCTCACTTGCTGTTAGAGTTAAAGTTGTTAAAGACATATCCCTCTTCTCGCACTCAGTATACAAGTATTCATTTCCCTCTGCTACCACCTCTCTTGCCCTGCTTTCTTCCAGTCTTTCTCTCATTCGATTTCATTTTTTTCCTTTCTGATAAGATATATGTTTGCCCTCCCACCCTCATTCACAAGTGCACACACCTACACACATTTCTCTCTTTCTGTCTGTCTTATCTGGATCTCTAGCAGGCTAGCAGTTCTGGCCCGTTGCTTACTCTCCTTGGGGAACACAGCTGAGTGGAGAGAAAAGATGAGCAAAGCCTAAGGCCTGGCCTGCTTAGCCTTATCATATACACAGGCATCTACATACATTGTCATGCACTCACGCCACTAGAAATGTGTGGTGTCACGGTTTGGACGTTCGCTTCCTGTTTTTTCATTGTTTCTCCCCGGATTCCCCATCTCTCCCTGCCTGTCATGTTTCCACCAGCATAATCATCTATCATCACTTCCACCTGTTGCTCATTAACTCTCAGACTCTCCTGCCATATATACATCCTCTTCTAGTTACATGCCCCTTCTTTACATGTGGAGTTAAAGCACAGGGGTCCTTGCAACTTGACCAAATTGCTGTCCTCATGGGCACATTTCTTAATGAATCACAGTTTTTACTGTACTACAAGGTGTGATGAAATTACAATTATTTTTCAATTGTTGAAACATTTGATAGTACAGGACTGGAATAATTTCAACACACTGGCCTTGTAGAAATTTAAAAGTGAATACCATGTTACTGCGCCCCAGAACTCCCAATAGTGGTGACAGAGTGCACAGCTACCTGAAATCTACAAGTAACAGTTTTTAGTGGAAGAAGATGCACTCAAATTCAGAAATTCTTTGTCTGACAGGCAAGATGTCAGTTTTCATATTCTCCACCTGCCGATGAAGTGAGAATACTTCTATTTGTAAATGAATACATCTCCATGTGACAGGGCTTAAGATTTGGCAGTGTTGTAGTACTCGACTGGGACTCGAGGTTTAGTGACTCAACTTCAACACTGACTTTAGGTGATGTTCCCTTGTTTCACTGAATTTTTGTAAAGATCTCTTATGAACACAAAGACAGGTAGTCCTAAGGTGGTTTCAAACAGAAAACAAAGTGAATACTTGCCTCACACTGTACCAACCAGCCAACTGTATAGGATAACAGAGGAACAGAGGAGCTCTAGTTCTCTCATTTCCTTCCAGTCTCTTTCCTTCTGATCTTTTTTGGATGTTGGACCCACGACCCGGTCTCGGATAAAGCAGACGAAAATGGATGGATGGACCCTCAA